CCACTATCTCTTTTAGTTTCTGGTTAACACATACCTTCTGTTCTATTTAAACAGCTCATTTCCATAGGTTCTATTTACCTGCTCATGATTAGGAAATCTGAATTAAAATGGCACACACATTATGCTCATAAAATCAGTTTCTGATGATTACTCTAAGCACAACAAGATAAATCACACATTTAGAGCAACTAAAGATATCACTGATTAAAAAAAGTTTGTGAGCAGCATCTTTAATAAAGAAGAGACCTCTGTCTAAAGAAAGACTTAACATGTATCAGTCAATGAATTAGGAAGCTATTTTCACAAAAGGTGTCTGTGAAATAACGAAATAAAAAAATGACTGTCATTTTTACTCATAAAATAAGAGAGAAAGCAAACATTCATCTGAAAAAACAATTTCCATTCAGATTGTGATAACCTTCAGAAAGTCAAAGACATTTTCATCTGATTGCTTAATAAAACAATGGTCCCGTGACTTTAAAACATACACAGAACCCACCTGATGACATAATTCCCATATCCAGTAGGAGCTGCCAGACCCCCACAGCCATAGATCTGCACTGGACAAAAGGGCAGTGTTCCAGGAGCCAGTCGACCAGCTCTGATCCAACGCAGCTTCTCCTGAACCAAAACAAAGACAGTCACTGCAAAACACGACTCTTCAGTACATTCTTTGCATCTGTTGGCTTTCTAAACAATCACCCTAAGAGTGACTGATATGAAGTTCGTCATCTTTGACTCTAAGTAGAACTCTGGCTGTACTTACTTTGTCCAAGACATATCTTTGTTCTTTTGGCAATCTATGGGATATCCCATCGATACCTCCAACACCACAAAACAACACAAAGGCATCAATTCTTCTTCTGTCATCCTCATTCACTGTCCAGCTATCAGATGCATAACAAGTGATTTAAAAGACTACGGCCTGAATCAAGCACAGCTTAGTTTTCAAACTCATATCATTGCCCCTCAGTAATTTTGAGTGTATTCCTGAATACACTTTCCAAGTGCAATACATATTCTTCTGATCTCCTGACTGTGTATTACAGTAAGATGAAGTAACTGACAATTTCAATCTTTGCTACATCTATCACAATGTTGTCTATTGGTCCAGAGGTGAGAATCTTTGTTTTCTTGATGTTGAGATGCAATCCATATTGAAGTCTGTAGTCATTGATCATCTGCAGCAAGCACTTCAAGTCTTCTTCACTTTCAGCAAAGTTGTGTCATCTGCTCAATGTAGGTTATTCATAAGTCTTCCTCCAATCCTGATGCCACTATACTTTTCACAGAGCCAGCTTCTCAAATAATGTTCTCAGCATACAGACTGAATAGGTGTGGCGAGAGTATATATACCTGAAGCACACCTTCTTAATTCCAAACTATGTAGTGTTCCCTTGCTCTGTTTGGACAACAGCCTCCTAGTCTAGATATAGGTTTTGCATGAGCACAATTAAGTGCTCTGGGATTCTCATTCTTCTCAATGTTAGCCATCATTTGTAGCTTCTACTAAAGATAGAGGTGCTGCCCTGGCAAAACATGTGCTTCAAGTTGGTAGTGATAAACTCTGGGTCATTCATGTACAGATTTTTATCTAACTCCTTTGAGAACAAAATAATTCCAAGAAGATGAAACAACCTTCCGATAACAGCTAACTATAGTTTTGTTTGCTACTCTTTGAATAGAAATGAAATAAATGACGTTTCAGAGAAAAAAATAAGTTTGACTGCTAATCGCTGTAATATCATTTAAATAATCTAGCTAAGCTGTCTAGATCATAAACCCACAAATCTAGATGTGTGCCACTTGACGGGTTCCACTAATTACAGGCAGAAATTAATTTCTGTAAGCTGTTTCAAAAGACACAAATATATTCCAAGAATGTCTCCATTGTGAGTTAAAAAGAGCACCTCCATCCTACATTTTCTTCTTTATTATCTTTAGAGGAAAAAAGAAAACTTTCTGAAATATGTTATTTTGCTAATTGACATTTCATTGAGTCCTATTTTCCTGAGAAAGAGAGAATCATAGAGAAGGAAAGGAGGTGACGACATGTCAAGTAATGGCTATATTCTACATTTGGTATTCAGAGATGAAGCGATGTCAACATTTATTTGTGTTACTAAAAGAGAAAAGCATTATCTCTTTTGCCTGTATGGGTGACATACTCCCAAATATCTTAGAATTGCACAGTCACCAAAAGTCGAAGAAATGACATGAAATTCTATCTTTTCTAGGGTGATGAAAATTAGTAGGCTTTCCTACGGAAATATCTGATCAAATACTTTAGTTTTTTATAAAGCACCTCTTTCTTTTTTTTAACACATCACTATTTGAAAGATACTCTATAGCAATTAAGCCAACTACAGACATGTTCAGTTGCAGGTTAGCATTAAGACATGAGAAGAATTAACAGTCAAATATATGGACGCTTTTTGAAACAAGATGAGAAAGTAGATCACAACAAAGCAGGCAATTACACCAACCAGTCAATACTAAGTTCTAATTCTATAGGACACCTTTCATGTTAAAGGCTCCAAGTGTTAATTAACTAATTAATTCCTCAACACCTCTGTCAATTAGACAACATCTCTGGGCCTATAAGGAGCTTTTTATCAAGTTCTGTCATCTTAATCCATAATCTCACAACAATACTGCTTGTCACCCTGTCCTGAGTGTCTGACTTCACCTGGAATGTGCAAAGGCACATCAGAACTTTTACCAAACTAAAATGTCACACTGTCAACATGGCCAGACAATGACATTGCCTTTGTCATTGGTAATGGGGAAGAAGTTTCATAGCCTGAGGTTTTTAAAATTGTCCTCAGAAGTCACCTGGTTATCTTGTTAAAACATAGCTTCTGATGAAGAGGGCGATGGAGACTGAGGATCCTTGTTTCTAACAGCCTCTGAGGTGATGCCAAAGACCTCAAGGCCCTAAGTCCCCAGCTCTGCTTCCTCATAGGGAATTGCACACTCTGTTTCAGAGCCAAGGCTCTGGATCAATAGGCCAAAACAGACTATTGTCATGACCACATTATTGATTATTGGACCCTAAACTCAAGACATACTACTATTTCTGTGGCACATGATCTCCATAGAAGGAGAACTGATGCCTTTGAGCTGTGGTGCTGGAGAAGAGTATTGAGGGTACCATGGACTGCTAGGAAAACAAACAGATTCATCCTAGAAAGGGTCAAACCGGGTGACTCCTTGGAGGCAAGGATTCTGAGGCTCTGTCTAACATACTTTGGATGTGTTGTAAGGAGGGACTGGTCATATAAAGGGACATCATGCTTGGTAGGGTACAGGGACAGTGCAGGAGGGGAAAGTCCTCTATGAGATGGATTGATTCAGTGACTGGGGCAATTGGGGTGGGTGTATCGGAGATGGTGCGATTGGCACAGGACAGAGCAGAGTTTAGGGCTGTGTACATAGGATCACTATCAGTCGCAAGCAACTCAATGGCACATAACAACAACAACAACAACAACAACAACGTATGTATCAAATCATTTTTAATGAACCATCTGTACCAGGGAAAACAACATTAGTGGTAAGGATAACCAATATCATTAATATCACCAAAGCAAACAAAATGAAGGGAGGTATCTCTGCATTTAATCCTGAGTCTCTTGAGTTGTTGATGTGTTAAAATGCCAACATCCATAGGACTCAAAACAGAGCAGCAAGGAAGAAAAGAGATGATTGGAAGGGAGCAATGTGAATAGTGAGAGCAGATTTTACCCCACTGTACTTTCAGTCTTGTACTGAATCCAGAAACTGTTCCCAATACATGCAGATCTAACAGTTGCAATATTAGGTAAGGACATTGTGACATGAAGGTGATTGGCTACAAGGCCAATGTGACCACCTTAACAAAACATAAATTTTATTAAATTTTGGATTTCAAAATCTGGCTTCTCTTGATTCCCTTCTGACTTGTTCTATAATTAATTTTTAACAATTAATTCATGGTAGCACAAACAGATCCTTAATGTCAAACACATATGGGTAGTGGTATTCAGAGACTTACTAGTACAAAGGAATAAAGTCTCAGAAACAGTTATTATTTTTATAGTGAAAAAAAAAAGAACAGAAATCACTGTAAAGTTTTGAAAATGAATTCTCGCATAGTACGAAAAAAACATGACACGTCAATTGGCTGCTGGACAAATGGAAATTATCCACTATAGGTAACCACAGTAACACTTTGTCTTTAACCTCAGGATGTTAATCAGTCTTTAGATTATAAAACAAAGTTTCAGACTGACCCTCAGGACTCTAAAATAGAAAAGCATATCCTCTCTCCATTTCTATTCTCATTAAACTCTAGCCCTACTAAATATAGCTTGGGTGGGTGGTGTACCATAGCACATTATTAAAAATGGCTTTTTCAGTCATTGGCTTTGTGATCTTCACCACATGGCTGGCAAAGACTATGCAAATAAGGTATATGGAGCGATAATGTGACTACTGGTCAGTTTTGCCACCCTACCACACTTAAACTGAGTAGGTTCAGAGGAAGGACAGAGGGATCTTACTACTCATAAAGAGAAGAACTGGAGAGTGCAGCACACTCTACAGACCCCAGAGCTTGAAAGAGGGAGTGCTATGGCATCTGACAGACAGAGTGAGACTAAGACAAAGCAGCCCAAATAGCAATAAAGATCTAACAGCAATGACTCTGGCATTGCAGCTATAGTAGCAATGCTGGCAGGAGAGGTAGCCAAGGAGCAAAGACTGATGTGAAAAGAGTTGAGCTAGATCTGCAATCCATGAAGTCAGAGGGTAGCACCTTTAGGGCTAGGATCACTGGCAGAGTGAGGATGGTGCACAATTGGGAGAACTAAGCTACCTTTGTAACAGTAGCTCAAGATGGGCAGAGGACAAGGCTAAGAGGTCAACGGTCAGGGAAAGGACTGCCTGGGAGCAGATGAGAAGTTATTCTGAATGAAAATAACCATGAGTATTTTCTGTGACTTCTGTGTGGTCATTGCAACAAATTTTCAAATCAAGTAGAGAAGCAGTTAGAGCCTTGGGGAGAAGGTTCACACACAAGTAGAATCCTGCTGAAGATTAACCAAAAACTTCATTAACAGAGAATTACCAGAAATATAGGCTGGGTTTAGAAGAGGTTATGGAATCAGAGACATTATCAGCAATGTCAGATGGATCTTGGCTGAAAGCAATGAATGTGTATCTGTGTTTCATTAACTATGCAAAGGCAATAGACTATGTGGATCAAAGCAAACTGTGGGTAATCTTGAGAAGAATGGGAATCCCAGAACACTTTGCATGATTGTGATCATGCAAAATCTATACTCAGGCCAGGAATCAGTCTTCAGAACAGAGCAAGGAAACACTGCATGGTTCAAAATCAGGAATGGAGTGAGTTCTGTCTCCATACCTTTTCAATCTATATGTGGAATAGATCACTCAGGAGACTGGGCTTTATGAGGAGGAATGTAGCATCAGGAATGAAAGAAGACTCATCAACAACCTATGTTATGCATGATGTGCAACAAATTTTACTATGCTGAGATGGCTCACAATGTTTCCTTCAAGAACTACAAAGCCTTCACAGAAAAGAGCAGTCCAGCTGGCCAGAGAGTCACAAA